AGTGGCTCGGTCAGCTGGATCAAGTAATGTCGCACTTGATGCAGAGCCATAAAAGTATCACCACACTACAAGGTTAGCCTTTCCTAGATTCTGTTGAATCACATTACTGTACACTTTTGGTCCCCTTCATGCTCTTTGATGTATCTGGCAGTTGAGTCGTTTAGGCTCGTTTAAGCAGTAGTTTCGGTACTTTATTTTTCTGAAGCTTTTTTTTCTACTAAACGTTTTGATTACCATTGACACTTAGTTATCTGAATATTAGTATGTTTTAAACAGGTTTAATGTGTGTTTCGAGGCTTCAGAGAGACAGACGTTCTATGCATGTGTTACAGAAAGATGGCGGGACGCTGGTCGACCATCTGTCGAAGGCCTAGCTTTGAGGCTGAGTAGCCGAACTACAACTTGAATGTTTGAAAGTCTCCTGAGACTAACATATTTCCTCCTTAACACGACTCCTGTTTTCCAGTCTACTGATCCTTACAAATCCGTCGTGGTTGTCCCTGCACAACACTACGAATATAACGGCCGTTGCGCATCGTTCTACTCCTTAGTCTAAGTTATTGAGCTATCCATAGTAATAGTCAATAAGCGTGAATGTTTTTCAGTCAATCTGTGCTTTCAGATAATTTTAATCCCTTTATAGAGCCTGCCCGTTAACAAACCGAAGCCACCTCACGGTTTTAAAATATTGCTTCCAAGCACACTAGTCTAGGAATTTTCGGTTAACATCTGTACTCGTGAACCTTCACAAATCGCGAAGTATTAGGTACATGTAGCCTTTATCTGCTGTTTTGTGGTTCTTATGCATGCAGTCCACGTCGGGAGTTTGGTTTGCTGGTGAATAAGTTGGAGTTGAAGGAATACCCACAGTATTCGTAAAATAACTAATTGGGTCTTCGTTATCGGCATTGTAACCCACTTCTTTCCTAACTTACCTTGATCAGAGGAAAATTCATAACGCTCATTGCCCCTTTCTCCAGCACAGCCCTGCAACCCCGACAAAATGTACTGGAGAAGAAGATGACTGTGTCTTTTTTGAAACCCATTAACGGGGGCTAACCCTGCATCCCACGCACTGGTCGCCTAGTATGCCATTAATTTCCCGAGTTTGGGAACTAACTAAGGGCTGTGATTCATTCGCCCAGTTTGGTTTACCGAAAACAGCTATTTCTTGCCCAACGAGAACTCGCTTTAGCCACCGCATGTACGGTCTCCCCGGATTTGTACTTTCACCTCTGTTACTCAGGTTGGTTCTCAAAACGGACTCTCGCTGGCGTCCTAAGGAGAGACTAAACTTGCATGTTGTGCCCATGGCACGTGGTCTTTTATTCTACACCAACCACTGCACCCAATCGCATCTGTACTTGTAGTCGGCATCATGCACTTTGCTAATACAAGCGAACATGCGAGTCCCAGGAAGTAATTGAAAAGAGGAAGATGCGATCGCCGGGATAAGACTTATATTCGCCTGACGTTTCGAAGTCCGTTGAGAATTCTCAAAAAACGTCTTGCAGGCCGTCGGCCGCCTCCTACATCGCTTGGAATCGGAGCGGCGCACACGCCGCAGGCAACAATAAGGTGTCATGTAGTGATACTAAAAGGCCCACTGCCCAATATGGATTGGGCAAGTCATTTCACTTGTTTATAAATTGGGCGTCCGTGAACCATGACCCAAGTGACTAGCGACTCACACAATTGCCGCCGCTCGCGATAATTTTGGCCTCATCAAATTTGAATGTGTAGCCGGATCTCGTCGAATGAGCCACAACTTGAGAAT